CGCGTTTGGTGCGGTACCAAGATGGACGCCCCTCGGGCCCGAGAGCAGCTTCGGCGGCGGTACTTGCTCCCGCCCGACGCCGAGGCCGCGCTGGACCGCGAAGGCGATGCCGGGCCAGGTGAGGCGCCTTCCCGCGCTCCGAGCCGTGCCGAGGTCTCCGGGGGGAGGCGACCCGAACCCGCCGCCCGGGTGGGCCGGGTGTGATTTAAGTCTTACCGAATCGCGCTCAGTGTCAGGAAAGATCCTTAGCGGTCGTAGCTTTGCACGTCTTCATCTCAGCTGCGCCTTGAGGTCCCTTGGAGAGCTGATTTAACACCCGTTTGAAGAAATCCATTAAAATGAAAGATGTTCCCCGGCTTTACGTCTTAAGAATTTACCAGAGAAACTTGTGTGTGGACTTACACGAAGACGTGTGTGCAGTGTTGAATCGCAGCCTTGTATTCAACACTGGAAATACCTCATTGCCTGTCAGCAGAAAGTTGCTTGAGTAAATCCGGGTGTGTCCATAGCACACCAGCCAGACTTTTCTGTAGCTCAGAGGGAGGTGCCAAACAGCGTGGCAATGGCATCTTGGGTACAAGACAGCTGCGATGTATGTTCACGTGTACATTCACAGACTATGAAAGTGGGTCGAAATTGATCCTTGCTTTGGAGCAAGCAACAGTGTTGAGAGTGGGGGGGGTTCTTCATATTTCATTCTTCTTATCCTGTGTCTTGTAAAAGCATGGCACTGCCAAGAGGGTCTCCAGACCACAGCTCACCTCTAACCTCAAACAGCCCCTGGCCAAGGGCACCTGTGCCAAGAGTACTCAGGGAGGCTTCTGTGAACCCAGGGTCTGCCCTTTTTACCCATCCAGCCCCCATTTATATAAATATTTTGAAGATATCTCTTAGAATCCACCATGAACAAACTTCCTAGGGATTCTGACAGTAATCTCAGATGTAGACTAGTGAGTGTTGCATGACCTGAGAGGGCAGATCAGGGTCACCTGAGGAATTTGGTGAAATGACTAATCTGACTCAGCCCTCAGCCACCTAGTCTTCCAGATATGGTCTGAAGTGGAAGAAATGGCTTGTCTGTCATCCATTTAGACAGTTTTCTGTTGGGACTAGACTTCTGGTGTGCACTTCATACTGTTGAGCTGCCTCAAAAAGTTATGTTTGTTAACAATAATTAAAATATTGGGCCCAGCAGATAGCATAATGGTTATGCCGCTGGACTCCCTCATACTCAGACTGTGGTTCACATCCCAAATCTGGCAGCCTAAAACTCATGCTGGGCCTGTGTGTGTTTGTGTAAGATGCCTAGAGGAAAATGGAGGAGAAGGGATTGTGGCGTGGCCATTCCCCCCCCCCAGGGGGTAATTTCTTGTTTTCTCTCTGCTGAGTGCACATACTTCACACCTTATGGCAAAAGAAAAAAAGAAATCTAGTTTTTTATAAATTGTTCTTGGAAGATCACAAGTCCGTTTTGTATGCTAGTGTTTGTTTTTGGCATCTTAACTGACAGGGCTAATTACTCCTAGAAGGAAATACGAAACAGTATTAAAACAGTATTTGATCACAGCACACCAGCCAGACTTTGACACTTCAGATGGCAGTATTATTTCTGAGAGACTATGAAAATGTAAATGTGGTTTCAGAATTCTCTTAGGGGAGATAAGTTAATTATATTGAATGCATCTTACAAGAGTTCTAATGAATTATTTCTGTAAAGTTAAACCTATCTCGTGCCAGCCTATGGCCTCCTGGTTAAGGTGGTTGGATCCCACCTGCCTGCCCTTGCAGGGATGTGTTTGCATTTGTGCTCTAAATCCTAAAAATAGGGAGATTAAGGAGAAGGGATTGTGGTGTGACAGTTCCCCTTAGGGAGTACTTCCTCTCTCTCTCTCTCTGTCTCTCTCTCTCTCTTTCTCGAGTGCATGCACCCTCTGGCAATTTAAAAAAAAAAAAGAAAAAGATAACTCCATCTTGATTTTATAGGAAGGTTTCAGTGATGTAATGGGAGAGACTCTGGTTCTTATAAGACTCAATAAATTATTTTATTTGGCTTAAAATAGGTATAAGTTTTCCTTATAAACTGTTGCATAATAGTAAGTTGAAATCTATCTTATTTGCAGAAACTCCTAAACCTTTTGAGAAGAAGGAGAAACCACTTCCAAGACTTAATATTCATTCTGGATTCTGGGTTTTGGCATCCATTGTTGTGACCTATTATGTTGATTTTTTTAAAGCCCTTAAAGAAAACTTTCACACTAGTAGGTAAGAAAACTATTGATTCATAAGTTAAACACCTTGTCTTTTCTTTGGTATAAAATTTTTATTAAAGATAAAAACATCACCTCTTTTCTACAAAAAATATTAACATGAACTTAATGAATATGCTAAACTCATTATTAATGGCCTGTATTTTTGCTCTATATAAAATGCCCTCAAATCTGAATGTAACTCCCATGTAGCAATAAAGTTCATGCTATCACATTATGGGTGCTAAGAAACCATTATACTGCCCTTAATACGCTTTCAAAGTGCAGTTTGTGAAATGGTTTTGATGTAAACCTCGTAATTTAAAGGTTAATATTTAAATTAGGTATGTTGCCACTTTTTAAAATAATTATTTTATTTATTTATTTGTTTGTTTTTTAATTTGACCAGAGAGGAATAGAATGTGAGAGGGAAAGTGAGAAAGCAAGATGCCAGGTCTGGGGCTTGAACCATGATCAGCCATATGGGAGCCCAGCGCCCTTAACCACCACACCATCTGCCAGCCCCAGGTTACCATTTTTGATATCACCTAAATACAATATATTGATCCATTATAGAAAGTTAGGTCAATGTTAGAAATGAAGAGTTACAGTTTACTTTCCCAGGCTTGTCATTAGTGTTTCACATTTATGGTTTTAGCTTTGATTTGGATGCTTCACAGATGAATGCAAACATGCGTAGAATACCACCACAGTGTTATTAATCAAGCAGCAGTTTTCCCAAGTCTGGGAACATCATGCAAATCCAATCGTGCTGTTTTGAAGCTTTATAGCTTTAAATTCGTTACTACACTGGAACCCATAGGCCAAGGTTGAGAAGGAAAGCTTTAAAGAAGTTTTCTGTTACTGCATTAATCTACTTAAATAAACAATTCAAAAAGAAAAAAAAGTTACCTTACGGGAAATCTGCCTGAATATTACAGTTAAAAGTGAACTGTTCATTGGCCAGCAGATGGCATGGTGGTTAAGGGTATTGGACTCCCACATGGTCAACTGCAGTTCGAGTCCTGGACCTGGCGGCTTGCTTTCTCACTTTCCCTTTCTCTCTCACTCTGTCCCTCTCTGGTCAAATGAAAATAAATAAATAAATTAATTAATTAATTAACTTAAAAAAAGTGAACAGTTCATCTCTAAAACTCATCATGTGTAGATGTAAACACCTTGTCTTATTCTTGTTAGTTGAATTCTTCAAACAGTAATCACCTACTCTGGCCTGGTGCCCCATTGGAGTTATTGGTGATACAAAAATGAATAAAGAATACTGGTCAAGGGGTATAGATTTTCACTTATAAAGTGAATAAGTTCTGAGAGCAAATGTACATAATGGTGATTCTAATTAATATTCTGTTGTATACTTGAAATTTGCTTAGAGTAGATCGTGTTTTTTCCACGTAGACATAAGCGTGTGTGTGTGGGTACACACACATAGTGGTAGCCGTTAGGTGATGGATGTGTTAGTTTACTGTGGCAATCACAGTGTATACTTGTATCGGATCACACACTGTATACCTTAATTACGTACAGTTTTAATTGGTTTGTTATGCCTCAGTAAAATTGGAGAAAGCAAGATGAATAAGAGGGTGTGTGCTCTTTGCATGCACAGCAGAGTGGATGAGAACTGGAAATTATTTAGTGTGACCTTTCAGTACAAATGTGTTGTAAGATGAGGAAGGCAGTGACTGTCAGAAAGGCCTAATGAAGGTCTTAATGAAGATGAAGTGCAGGAGTGTGAAGAGGAGGGCGTGAGCCCTGTGCCAGTTAGAATGGTCTCAGGTTTTGCTTCAGAGAGTCGTTACAGCTGACAAGATCACTGTCGAGTGTGGCTGAAGGAGAGTGAACAGAAGGGCACCAGTGGGAGGAGTCAGGAGCCTTGTGTCCAGGCTGATGCCAAATAGCCAAATTCAGGGACTGCCATCCCTTCAGCCTAGGCTCGGGAGTTGATGTGGAGGACAAGCTTATGAATCCCATCTCGGGATCCTTGCTGAACCCTGGAGAATGATGGGGAAGGAAAGATGTTGGTGAGCTGTATTGGGAGTCTGGTCTGCTCAGGAGCAAGGCTGATTATGTAGAAATACCACTGGGGCTAGAAAGATGCAGACAGGAACGTGGTCCTCTGCTGTCATGGGGGGGACACACCGTTTCTCCTCCAGGCCTTTGAATATGCATTTATGTCTTTTTTCCTCTAAGATGACTTTTTTTTTTTTTTTTTTCCTAGCCCACTGGGGCTAGAAAGGTGCAGACAGGAACGTGGTCCTCTGCTGTCATGGGGGGACACACCGTTTCCGTGGTCCTCTACTGTCATGGGACGACACACCGTTTCTCCTCCCGGGAGGAGAAGTGACTTATCCAGGGTGATACTGAGGAGCTAGAGGGAGCGAGCAGTCAGGGGAAAGTGAACTTAGGGAAGTTTATTTAAGCTATTGGGGAGAGGAAGCTTCCTCCGCTTATTTCTGTGGGTAGGAACTTCCCTTAAATGTGCCCATATTCCTGCCATTTTGTCTCTCTTTTTTTTTTTCCCTGGGAGGTGGTGTGTCTTAGCGAGGGAGATTGAGTTTGGGACAAAGAACTGGGCTTAGATAACACCATCTTGGGAGTGAGCTGCCCTTAGGAGGTGTGGGGAGCCACATGCACCAGAATGGCTGACATGACCTTCATACAAGGACCTTCAAGTATCCTTGTTCCGGGAGTAGACAATTCACCCTGAGACTTCCTCATTCAGGCAGGTCCTCAGTCAGGTCCGGGACAATTCCCGCCCCCTCTTCCTCCCCTGTGTATATAAGAATGTTCTCTGGCCCTCAGTAAACGAGTGACTGTATTCCATCTTGAGCTGTGACACTGTGTCGCTCCCGTGTTGTGACGCTGTGCCGGTTCCAGATCTCCGCGCTCTCACTCAGGCACCCTTCCTGATCGTCCCGCCGGCTGGGACAAGGAAGCACAGATTCTGGTCCACTTTTCTGTGTTGTCACATTATTAAGGGGCAGCCCTAAAAGAAGACGATCTCTAGGTTTCCATGGCCACCTGAACCCAATAAGTAAATTGGTCTGTTTCTGGATTTCAGTATGAGGATGTGCTTTGTCACCACTCATGAAAGCTGTGTTCCTCCCACAGCTCTGTCAGCAGCGAAGCTGACATTTGATCAGCATAGTTTCTTCATCTCTCAGTTGGTTTCGAACTTGGACTGGAAAAGAGGGAGTGGTTACTTTAGATGCCAGCAGTAGCAGCTGCTCCTTCATTTATCACACACTTAACTAGAGCTTGAGACGTGTTTGGCTGTGGGTGCCAGTGGTGAATAAGGTGTAATTCTAGCCCTCCAGCCACTCCTTCTAGGCCACAACAGACATGTTAACAAGCCTCGTGGTGCATGCCGTGTAAAGTGTATGTACAAGATGTTACAGGAGCACCTAAGAAAGGTGCTTTGTCCAGCCCAACCTCAGGAGTTAGACCTTTTTGAGATTTTAGGAGACATGGGAGAATTTCTCTCTGTGTCCTTATGTTAAGTGTTCGTTGTACAGGAGGTAAAAGAACTCTCAGGTAAGAAGTGCTCACTCAGGTACAGTGTCGGGGGCAGGTGCAGTAGTGAGTGGGTTGTCCAGAACCACACAGCAGGTGTGTGGCAGAGCCCAGGGCTCAGGTGCTGTGGCTAGGGCTGCGTTAAATAGGCCTGTTAGTGTAATGGCTATGTCGCTGGACTCCCACATAGTTGACTGCGGTTCGAGTCCCGGACCTGGTGGCTTAAACTCACGCCAGGCGCATGTGCGTGCGTGCCCAAGATCCCGAGAGGAGAATGGAGGAGAAGGGATTGCGGAGTGGCCATCCCCCTTGGGGGGTGATTTCTCGCTTTCTGTCTCTCTGTCTCTCTCTGTCTGTCTGGTGAGTTCACACTCGCTATAGCAAAAACCTCTCCAAAAAAAACCAGTCATCTTAGAGGAAAAAAGACATAAATGCATATTGAAAGGCTGACAATTTTGAGTAGCATTGTATTTTTGGTGCAGAATTCATTAAGTGGTGGGGAGTTTGGGTGGCCTTGAAATAAGAATGACACATAACATGTAATTAATGTAGGCTGAGTTCTGCTGTTTTCAACGTAGCTTGTTCCTTTAATGTGAGGTAATTTCTTTTATTCCCTGCTCTGGGTGAAGTTTAGAAACTTGAGGCATTAGAGTTGCTTAAATACGTGCAAGGGTAGACTATTGTATTATTCAAAAGGAAGAGAAGGCCGGCCCCATAGTCTCGTGGTTAAGGGAGCTGAATTCCACATGACCAACTGTGGTCTGAGTCCCAGCACCAGTGACTTGAAAACTGCATATGTACACCCATGTCCCACATCCCAACAGGATAAGGAAACAGGAGAAGCAGTTGTGGCGTGATCACACCCCACTGAGGGGTGCTTTCTCCCACTGCCTTGTTTTCTGTCTCTTTCTGGCAAGCGCACATGCCCTCTGGAAGTTAAGAAAAAAGGATAGGAGAGATGGCCCAGTGTTAAAAACAAGACAAAATAGTTGTGATGTTTTGGAAATCACAGTTTTTAAAAACCCTATTGTGTTCATGAAAATAAACGAGTTAAAAGAGTAAAAACTGAAACTAAAATCCTGGATGCTTGGGATCTTGCTTCAGAATTTTGGAAATTAGGGACAAGATAATTCTCTTTAGAAAGGAGCAGAGGTGACTGATACATCACCAGGGCTGAGGACCATGGGCTTGCAATATTATGTCTTGTTGAGACCTTTTAAAAAAATTCATTTATACGGACCAGCAGATGGCGTAATGGCTAGGTCGCTGGACTCCCATGTAGTTTACCGCAGTTCGAGTCCCGGACCCAGTGGCTTAAACTCATGCCGGGCACGTGTGTGTGCATGCCCAAGATCCCAAGAGTAGAATGGAAGAGAAGGGATTGCAGTGTGACCATCCCCCCTGGGGGGTAATTTCTCGCTTTCTGCCTCTCTGCCCCTCTCTTTCTGGTGATCACATGTACCCTATAGCAAAAACCTCTCAAAAAAAAATCATTATTTATATTCTTTGCCATCTATCTCTGGAGAGAATAGCCACACTAAGATTCCATGTGAAATGACTAAAAGGATTCTTTTTTTTTTTTTTTTTTTTTTTTTTTTTTGAGGGATCTGTTG